AAAAAAAAAAAAAAAAAAAATTAAAAAAAAAAAAAAAGATGTCACTAAAAGTCTCCCTTGGTCCCGTGGAGTTTTGTCTCTGCCACCCCTCACCAGGGTCACCAAGTGGCATTTTGTTTCCTCACTGGCTCGTTGATTTCTGTCTCTAGTGCTATACCAGGACACCTCCAAGAGGCAGCAAGGGGTCTTGCTTGTTTTAATCCACTTGTGCTAGAATTGATCAGGTTTTTTTCCTTTTTGGTTTCCCCTAAGCTTTTTTCTCAAATGAAGGGGAAAAGCTGGGTACAGAAAGAGGAGTTATCTTGGTTTTTGCCTTGTCTGTGCACACTTGTCTACTGAAGCCGTGCTGCTTTTTGAGGCTCTCTACCCTTTTTTGTAAAGGAGGAAGAAGTTTCACCTTATTTTATACTATCTTCCCACTTCCCACCAAGTTCAGAGCAATCAACATGAGAAGTGGCTTGGAAGGGGTTAAGCAGAGCAATCTTAACCCATGTTAAAAGGTTACCTGTGTTTTGTTTGGGTTTCATGGTTTTCTGTGGGGTTTCAGGGAAGAAATGGATTCCTAATCATAGCAGGAAGCACTGAGAAGCCTGTGAGTAACAGTCTTGTGAGTATAATGGCAGCCAACAGTTACCTGATTTTGAAACATTCTCTGCCCATGTTTTGCCCCTGTACTCCCATTCAACAGGTTTTATTGAGTACCAGTCTCTCTCTCTCCAACTTCTTTATAGGAGTGAAATATACAAGAATTTATAAAACAATGTACAATTTAACAAAATGCTATAAAATAAATGCCCATCTAACTATAACCAAAATGTTATAAAATAATATCTTCTAGAAGTTTTATGGTTTTGCCTTTAATGCTTGGATCTGCAATAATCCAACTGGAGTTTATTTTCATAATTGGGATGAGTCAAGATCAGGGCTACCTTTTCTCATATGGAGATACAGTTATTTCAGTAACACACTGAAAAGATCATCTTTTCACGTGCTGCTTTGCAGCACCTTCTTTTCAATGTTATATATTCAGGTAAAAATTAATCTGAAAGTATACATTCTAAGTGAAAAGAAGTAGGAGGAGGAGGAAGAGAACATCCTACATTCTCCCACTCCTAGCAATACTTCCTAGAGGGAAAAATTAATATAAATCATTTTGGATGGAGTAATTTGTAATTTGTGTCAAGTTCACCATACCCAAATGGCTTATTTCATGTAATATATTTGGACATTGTTTTATATCTGAGTCCATATCCCCTTCATGAGTTACCTGATGCATTGCCTGTGTAAATGCTCCAGGAAATACCCATCAACAACAGCAACTAGAATGGTTTAAAAGTGAATTTGAGGAGAGAAAGAAGAAAGGAAAGAATATGTTTGCTTGAATCCACTTCAGACACCCTGATTCTTTCACTGCATTCAAGACTAAGGCCTTTCCTCCTCTAGCTTAGCCAGCTCAGGCCTGTGGCCTTCAGGGCTCTGGACACTACTGAGCAGGCCTTGCTTGTCGGCAGCTGCTGGCTCTTCTACGCAGAGCAGGTGCTGGAGACGCTGGGATAAAGCTTTTGTGTCTCCAGCACAGGATGAATTGGGAATGGTGCTTGTATTGCCAATTTCTGTCAAGAATGAAATGTCCATATCCTCCAATAGAACTGGTTGGCTTAACAGCTAAATGAACTCTGCTCTGGAAGAGACTTTTAACTTAATTTTTCTAAAGGTGAAAAATGAACTTTGAGTGCTCCTGAAGAACAGGGGTGACTCAGCAGGGATCTTTACTGAGACTTTTATGGAAACCCATTACAGAGATCTACACTTAGTGGTGCTCTAATGGGGATGGAGATTTATTGGCCCATCAATAAAGCAAATTCAGACTTTATGAGAGGCGTACTTTTCTGAAATCACGTAGAGTTGATTTCATGAGAATGCTATTGTGCACCCTCAAACTTGCTATTTAAAGAGGATTGTTCACATTTGACAAAATTGCTGTGAAAACAATTTCTTCCTGTTAGCGTCTCATTTTCAGCAACTCTGGCATTCTTCCTCATTTATTTTTCTCTGTCTCTGTCTCTGAACTTCTCTGTACCTCTCTCTCTCACTCTCGCTCTCTCACTCACTCTCTCTGCAGTCAACTTGCAAAACTTGCAAATGTGTTGATCTGAATAAGTAGACTTAGCTCAATTCCACCTTGGCTGCCCCAGCAGGAAGGCTGCTCTACTTACCCACCCACCTATACATTGGTGTGGCACATTTGTTTCAGTGAATGAGGCAAAAATAATGCGTTATGATGAACTCAATTCCCTTGTTTAATTAGGGCTTAGTTCTTACCTGTCTTTTTTTCTGTTCCAGGACACCATGGTACATTTAAGTCATTGTGTCACCTGGAGCTCCTCCTGGCTTTGGCAGCTGTACAAGCTTTCTTGGTTTTTGAAGATCTTGACAGTTTTGAGAAGTACTGGTCAAGTATTTTATAAGGTGTCCCTCTATTGGAATTTATCTGATGTTTTTCTCATGATTAGACTGGGTTTGGAGAAGGAAGGTCATTACAAAGGTAAACTACCATTTTCATCACGTCATATCAAGGATACATGCTGTCAACATGATCTATCCTGTGAATGCTGACCTCAGTCACCTGGATGAGCAGTGTTGTCAGGTTTCTCCCCTGGGACATCACTCCTTGCACCATTCCCATGATGTCCTATTTGGAAGGGGGCTGCTTTGCAAAGCCCGTAGGGCAGAGTATCTACATAAATTATTTGGAATTTTCCTGCAAGAGAGATTTGCCTCTTCTCCCTCATTTATTTATTTAGTCAATTATGTATTTATATCAGCATGGCTGCATGGATATTTATTTTATGCTTTGGTATATAAATCAATACGAGTTTATTTTGTTGCTCAAACATTTGCAGCTTTGACCATTGGGAGATCTCTGGTGGCTTCCATGTCTCTGTTATTTCCCTAGCACTGTAGGGTTTCTATGTTTTTGAACATTTTCTTACCTTCTGGCACTCTAGGATTCTCAGACTTACTTGCATATTTCCTGCCACAGCCCTAGAATCTGCCATTTCTCCAAGACGTGGCTATCAGGTGTACTGGTGCCACTGGGATTGTTGGCATTCTTTTAAGATTGCAGTTTCTTCGGCTTATAAAAGAAATACCTGTTCACTATAAAAATAATTAGAAAAAGAGAAGCTGTAGAAATGTATATAGATAAACATCAATTTAACTGTTTCTACTACCTACTACATAAAAAAGTAGACTCTTTCCTTTTCTTCCTCCTTCGATTTACACAGCCAGGGATGGAGAAACACAATGGGAAGTCCAAGATAAAAACAGAACTGCTTTTGTTCCACAAAAATGTCTTAGATGGTGATAATGTGATTGCATGGCCAGTCACTGCCCAACCAGTGCACAAAATCTGGAAGCTCTTCTTGGAACCATAGAAGACAGAAAGTGGGTGGGAACTTGGAGATCATGTAGTCCAACCCCACTCTGTAAATAAAGACACTGGCTGCTGGGAAGTGGGGAGAGGGTTCTCTATGCAAGGGCTGTGGCTTACCCAAAATGATACCACAAGGTAGTTACAGAGCCAGGCCTGAACCAAGTGCCTGGGACCTAATTCCAAGTCAAGTATTTTATCTACAGTTTTGTTTTGTTAGTGTAATAGCTTGAATTAGTACATAGCAACAATTAAGAGAACTGACTTTGGGGCCAGGCAGACCTAGATTTTATTTCTAGTCCTATCACCTTTTTTGGCATGGGGCGAAATTCTTAACATCTCTGAGCTGTATATTCTTCATCTGGAATAGTAATAGTTTTCAGTTGTATAGTGTTTACTATGTTGCAGGCACTGAACAAGCACTTTCCATGCATTTAATTCCCTGACTCCTCAGGGTAAGCATTATCATTATCCAGACTATAGCTGAGGAAACTGACCCACAGAAAAATAAAATAACTCATCAGAGGTCTTATAGCTAGTAACAGAGCCCTGCTTTGAAGTCAGTCTGATTTCAGAGCCCATGTTCCTAACCATTACATAGAATTGCTTTCTTTATCTCAGTAATGAAAGGAATAATTGTTCCTACTTTAAAGGATCATAATAAAAATGAAACAGGAACACATATGTAAACCATGTTAGACTGTGCCTCTATTATTACCATATTATTATTACCTTTCAAGTGCTCCTTCTGCTGCCCTTGAGCATCATGATTTTCCTATATAGCACTGTGCTCAAATCATGAAGAATTCAAAGATTGGATCAGTCACTTCTCTAAGGAAATGACCATGCTAACTGTATGACTGTCTACATGTTGCTTTTAGTATAACTGTGAGGAAAACAATAAACACATGCAAAATTATTTGAGACAATATGTATTTAACTCTGTGAACTAACAGCTACTTTCCCCAGATTTCTGACTAGAAACATGGCCAGGTAATCCCATAATGCCTTGCAGTTGTATCTCAGTCTTTCTTGGTTCTGAAATTGTGGATTCTCTTATACTCTTACAGCAATAGTTCTCCTCTGGCCATGCCCTGAAAAAAGGCAATGAAAAAAAAGTCTGTGAAACGTTCCAGTGTGAGTTCTACATGAAGAAACAATATCATTTGTCTGTACTCCCTTCTCAGCCTGAACCAGAAAATGGATTCTTTCTTGCTGACCTCTTGAAGACAAACAATAGGTTGTGAGGGGCTGGGGATTTAGCTCAGCGGCACAGCGCCTGCCTGGCAAGCGCGAGGTCGAGAGTTCGATTCCCGGGCCCAGAAAAAACAAAAAACAATAGGTTGTGGTCAGGGTTCTAGGTTTAGCCCTGGACCAGGAACCAACTTTGAGACCTAGAATGGGGCCTGGAGAATGGGTTCTGAAATGAGGCGAAGGTGGGCATTAGAACTGAGACCCAGGGAGAAGCCAAAAGGACAAACTCCACAGAGACAGTTAACTTCTCCCCATCCTTCAAATCTCAGACCTGTCGCAGATAATAAGTTCAGGCTCTTCCGTATGCAGCCCTCATGTAACCATCTTCTTTTCCTCCAGAGCTCGGATCAGTGAAATTTCATAACTCATTATGACCACATGGCTTTCCCAGGTGTACTGCAGCTTGTTTTGAGTGGAGCCTTGAATTTTGGTCACCGCTGTCGCCAGCATCCCGCACAGGGCCTGAAATTTTAGAAAGTATAATGTAGTGCAGAAAGCAATTGAAATTTAATCACAAGCACTGCTCTAAGCCAAGGGCCCCAAAGCAAGTCATTTAAAACGTGTTTCCTTATTTTGTGATATATGTAAGGTAATGTGGACGTGCATCTGCTGAAGCTGTTTGTCGTTACAGCTTGTGACTGGGAGTTACCTTGCTGTGCAGAGACTGTTCGCTCCAAACCTTTCCCAGGTGGAGCAATCTGCACGGAAACCTCCCGACCATAAAGTTCAGTTCCTAGAGAGGCCTTATCCTCACTTCCGCTCGCCGGCCTAAAACTGCGCCTGCGCAGCGTATCTCTTCCTCTCTGGGTTTGGGCCTGGGTCGCGTCAATATGGTGAGTGCGGTTCTGTGCACGGCCTAAATCTCTATCCATCGCCATCCCTCCTGCTTTCAGTTTCTTCGTCCTCGTCCACCTCTGGCCACCCGCTTTGTCCCGCGTTTCCCCTGGCCCCGAGCCATTTCCGCGTCCTGGAACTCACTCTGGAACGCGGCCTAAGGCGGAGGCGCGGGGGCGGCTTGGCGGACCCGGCCTGCTTAAAGCAGACCCCCGGAGCACGGGTCCCGCCCGGGACGCTGGTTTTGCCGGTTTAAACTTGAGGATAACTAGGTCACAGCGGGGGTGAGGTGGGGGCCCAGACCCAACTGATAAATATTGCTGGTCTGCACCTTTCTGCGTTGCTACAGGCCAAACGCACCAAGAAGGTCGGCATCGTCGGTAAATACGGGACCCGCTATGGTGCGTCACTCCGGAAAATGGTGAAGAAAATTGAAATCAGCCAGCACGCCAAGTACACCTGCTCCTTCTGTGGCAAGGTATGGTGGTCTGTTGGAGGGGAGGCCTGGCTCCTCCTGCAGGCTGGTAAATTGCTCACGCTTTCCTGTCCTTTGTGAGCTGGACAGGAGCACTGGTGATAACTTCACAAACTGTGAACCGTTCCTAACTTGGAGAAAACCACTAAGAAACTAAACAAGCGATTTAGTAAAGACCCCCAGCCTGTGCTAACCCTGCTTTGTGGGGAATGAAGTCTTGTCAGTTTGTTTTTACTGATATTTCTGTATCAAGGGGAGAGCCTGCATCTAATAACATCCTGGTGGTTTAACAAAACCTAGAGGTTTTTGTTTAATAAATATTTTACTGTATTCTCTATGCTAAAGTTGGCTTTCCTTTGGAATGTGAGGCTTTTGGGTCGTAGTGAAAATGGATTCTCTAATTTTACAGACCAAGATGAAGAGACGGGCGGTAGGAATCTGGCACTGCGGTTCCTGCATGAAAACAGTGGCTGGTGGTGCCTGGACCTACAAGTGAGTCCCTTTCTTGGAGTATCTGGAGCTATGGGCTCCACATAAGCCATTTGGAGTTTGGACACCAGATGGGCCAATTATAATTCTTCCACAAGACCAAGAAAATAATGCTTCTGGGTTTTTTGGAACTCTACAGAGCTATGGTATATTTTCATTTGTTCAAAGAATAGAGACAAAACCACAGAAATATACGTTAATATAGACGTGTTATAGTTAATAGTCATCAGTTTCTGTGAACATTCTGTAGGTGCATTAGAGGGGTCTGAACTGGGACTAAATTTTGATTTGCACTGCAGATTGTTTTTATAGAGATAGTTTGGAAAGATGTCGGTTCATTTAAAATTACCGTTTGGACACTTGGTTTTTGTCTTTCTAAATACTGTGGTACTGAACTTCTTAACATTGTGATCCTGATAAAGATCCCTGATGTTGCTGAGATAAACCTGTCTATGTGGTTATTGCTTGCTTTGACTCTTAGCCTAACCCATTTCTGGAAATGAGGGCCACCTTGAAGGATCTAATCTTGGGAGTTCTTTGCTGGACGCCTGAAAGTCTTTTCAGTGTCTACCCCTGTGCTGTCCAGTGTACTAGACACAGCCCAGTGTGAGCCCAGTGTGGTGGTGCATGTCTATAACTCAGCATTAGGAGGCTGAGGCAGGAGGAATGCTGTGAGTTCGAGGTCACCCTGCGCCGCATAGCGAGACCCTGTCTCAAAAAACAAAACAGGGCTGGGGGTATAGCTCAGCATGCAGCATCTGCCTGGTAAGCACACCAAAAAGCAAAATAAAAAAAACCCAGTGTACTAGTCACATGATAGTTTAAGAATTGAATTAAAAATTTTTATTTACAATTACATTTATAATGTGATAGTAATGTGCATATATATTTAAGCGCCTTGTTAGGGGTGTTTTATGATGGTAGAAAGGAAAATGGGTAGCAAGGTGCTCTTTTGGTTCTGATGGAAAAGTGAATGAGCGTTTTGGTATACATCCACACTGGTTTTCAAGTATAGTTTTTTATTTTGCTTTTTTTTTTTGG